ACTACCTCTGGCAGAGTACGCACCGCGCCTTCTGCGTCCCACGACATCGCAAGAAATATACAGCCTGTGCCCACGGGCGCTCTTCGGCGGAGCGGGACCAGTCGGAGGCAACGGGGCCTCAGGCGGGATCGCGTGGCACCTGCCGAGAGGTTGAGTACTACGGGGGCGCTTCTTCGAGCCAACTTCCACCGCCCCCTTGGGGACTTCTGTGGGCCCTGGGGGAGGCGCAAGAACAGGGGCGAAAATCACTCTAGGGCGCACCGCTCTCACAAAATCAGGACATTCCTGGGGCCCCTGACCCCGATCGTGGCGGGCCAGAGAGGGGGAGCTGGAGGACCCACTAGGGGGGGCCAGAGAGCCTTCGGGGCAGGGGTCCAGTCGGGCTCTAACCATCCTATCACCTACCTGTGGGACTCCATCCAAAGCCCTCTTGATGCCAGATCCCGAGTTCCCCGAGGTGGGGGGCAGGGTCGGGGGGGCACGGCACGGCTGCACACCGCATGGCAACGCGCACGTCCTCCTCCCCCCCCCACCCCCAGGACTTGGCAACCTTGGGGCATCTACTGCACTTCCACCCTCCCTTGTATAATATGGGGGTGTGCGGGACAGCTCCTAAGGCGAGGTCTGGATGAATGAGCTTTTTCGTACGCGGCACAGGAGCTGCCGCCTTCGAACAGGGCTTGCGGCCCAGAGTGACGACCCTGTCCGCGGGCACGTCGCCGCCGAAGGACTGGGAGTTGCCGATCCACGCCTCCACCTGTCTCAGCTCGTCCAGAAGCTGCTGGTGCCGTTGGACCGCTGTCGCTGGTATGTCATGCTTCCGCAGTCCTCGCTTGGCCGCGAAGTCCGCCCAGTCGTTCCCTGCCTTGTCCAATCTGTCGTGTGTGCCGACGTCGGTCTGGTGAGATCGCATCCAGGTGACTCGTAGGGAACCCGACAGGCCACCATGATCCCGCACCAGGTGCCAGAACTGCTTCCAAAGGTCCAAGTGTTCACGTCGTACGTGCAGGCACCAGTCAGGACCTCTGTAGATCGCGTCCACGACGTTCACGCAGTCCGACTTGATATTGAGGGGAAGGATGCCATGTTTCAGCACTTGGACGATGGCGTACAGCTCCGCTCTTGGCACGCTCTGCTCGTGTCCAGGGAGCGGCGGAGCGGCCCGGACGCCAAGCCTTTGCACCGGTGCCGATGCATGATGGCGACTCCCCATCCAGCACGATTCGCCTCGGGCCATGCTACCAAAGTGCGCCCTGACCCGTCCGTGAATATGTCGCCTGTGATGACCAGGCCACTTTCCCATCTGTCGTAGTACCACTGGTCCGTCATGATAGGTGGTGGCACAATCGGCAAACGAGCTCTGGGCATCAAGGCCCGCGTGAAGAAAAGGTCATTGACGGGGGCCTCCTTGGCCCTGACAATGATGTCCTGCTCGACGGCGTTCACGCACATGTGGGCGCAGCTAGGGCACTCCCAGAACCTGTGGTGCAACGTGCCGTCGTACCCGTCGCCGCACACCTGGCAGTAGTCCATGTCCGAGAAGTTATATTTTGCCAGACGCTTCTGAGACCACTGTCCTCCAATGACTGTGGACCGCAACGCCCCGACGGCCATGTCACTTAGCTTCCACAACTTGGCCCTGGGTGGGGCCTGCAATATCATGCGTATGGGCTCAAGCCAGTACCCGCAAGGGTCCCTCGTTGGCGATGTGGTCTCTGGAGCGACATCAGACCCTTTGGCCCACTGCTCCCACTTGACATTGACGTATGCTCTCCTAGCGACCTTGCTCACCCACGATGGCGCGTGAGTCGCGAGGTCAAGCACGATGCCCGTGCCTGTGGTCCAGCTCGAAAAACTATCATACCTCCAATTGAGCTTCTTGAGGCATGTGATGACCGCACCCGCTGGACCAGCAACGAGCTTCCATGGGGCTCTCGCACCGCTCAGCAGACTGTTCTGTCGGTCCCAGGCTTTTTGCAATACACTATGTGGCACAACACCCTCCATCACCAGCTGGGCCCATGTAAACAAAGGTTCGACCGTGGCGATGCATTCTGGCTGAAGGTGCGGCGACGGTTCCAACTGCGATGCCAGCCAGGTCGATGTCGCCGTTGGTGTTTTGCCCCAGCCAGCCCGAGCAACTTTGGTCATGGTGACCACCGTAGCTGGAGGCGCACTGACCACCTGGAGACCATATTGCTGGCTGGGCCCAGGCTAGTCGTGCCAACCTTCTTGGCAAAGGCAATGGAGCTCCGTAACCTCATGAACCTGGGGAGCCTCTTCTTGACCTTGCGAATCCGTTTGTGCACGGTCGCGTAGGTGATGGACTTGCCCGAGCGAGACTCCATTCCCAGAATGTTGAGCGACGTGGCCGCCCTGAACCCGTGACGTCGTGTTCGCCGTGCAACTTGTTGTGCCACTTCCATGTTCGAGCTGAGCACCTTGGCCTTGTCAGCTGCGACGGGCAGCTTGAGGGCCAGGAGCACCGCCGCCAGGCGATCCAGCAGAGATACGGCCGTGTCGACGATCGTGTTGATGTGCTCGGAGACCTGGGCAGTGATGTCGTCGGCGTACACATCTATGGATCTGGGCACGTGCGACGTCGACGCCACGTAGACATCAAATGGTGTAATCATCACGAGCTGGAGAAGGTACACAGCTGCCGTGCATCCTGGGAGTACCCCCTGTCCAACTCTGGCCGCGTATGAATAGGCATCGTCCCATCGTATTCCGCGCGGCGCTGTATACATGCTCATGCACATCCTGAGAATAGCCACTGTAAACTCATGCATCTTGGCGGCCATCATGATCTTCGTCCAAACCACTCTGTCGAAGCACTTGCTGATGTCGATGAGGGCCGTGACGATGGTTTCTCCCTGAAGCCGATCTGCTGCCTCGGCGTGCACCATCGTGCGAGCTGCTACATCCACCGTGGACTTGCCCTGGCCAAGCGCGAAGAAGGGCTTCGCGTTGTCCACTGCCCATCGTCGAAGGTGAACGACCCGCACTTTCATGTACAGCCTGTACAATGATGGCATCAGCGCTATAGGTCTGAACCCCCCATGGGCTTCCCCAACAAAAGAATGTGCACTGACATGACTGCTGTCGGCCACCTACACCATGTCTCAGCAGCCCATATGATGTACACCAAAAGAGCCATTGCCCCATCTGAGAGAAGGGTCAACGCCCTCGGGGAGAGACCGTCGACGCCTACCCCTGTGCGCCATGTGAACGACGCGGCAGCTCTGCGCATGTCGGTCACTTTGGGCACTTCCAAGGCCTGGTGGGGCAGGCTCCTCATTAATTAATTCCATGGCATCGCTGTTCTTGTCGATCAGGTGGTCCACAGCAAACTCCTGATCCTCGTCGTGGGAGAGCCCCTCTCCCTGCCATATGCGGTTCCACACGTCCATCTGATTGTCTGCGACTGCCTGCAGGAGGGGGGTCTTGATGCCAAAACGGTCGACCTCCTGGTGCGTTCACCCCTTTATCTTAGTCGTGGCGAAGAGATGTACAGGCCCAGTGACTAGCGCGTCGTTCGCCCACTTGCGAAAGGCCTGGGAGCGGCTTCTCGCAGCTCTATCCTCCTGGCGGCCAGCATGGGGTTCCAGAAGTCCAGCATATGCTTGTAATATGAGAGTGAAAGCTACGCCTCCATGCGTGCAAGCCTGATGGATGACAGTCCAAGCCCAGTCGGTCAGCGTGCGCCCCTCCACGGTGTGAACATCCTGCCGATGCCCAGGCCTGAGAACTCTACCGACTCGTGCCCACCTGGACGCAGGTGGAAGCCCCTGATTCCCAGGCGTGAGAAGATCTTTCACAGCAGTGGCAACAGAGCGCAGATATCGTGGCTCCGACTCTCCAGCAGGTCGCCCTCCTCGAGCAGGTCCTCCGACAGGTCTCCGTACATATGATTGCCCATCAGCTCTGCCACAGTGATGGTGAGTTTCAGCCACTTGGTAAATATGACAGAGATCTTGCTCAACGTTCTGCAACATACCAGCGTAGAGGCCGTCCAGCCGCTCTTGGGCTTCGTCGGCGTCGCATGGGAGTCCGCGTTGAGCATCAGCCTGAACCCTCTCAAGATAATCTCTCGTCGGTGGTGGCCCTGCGAGCGGATGGCAGCCAACATGAGACGGATGCGCCCGTGGGAACCTCTTGGGACCCTGCAGCGTGATCTGCGTGTGGCGTCTTGGCTGCGCAGCTAGGTCGAATCGCACAGGATGGCGCGGTCTCGGCGCCCACCTCTCGACCAGGCGGGGCCGTTCGCACGCCTTAACAATGTCAGAAGAGACCAACCAATAGTCGATCATGCCGTAGCGGCCTTTCGCGCTCCTGCACGTTCCCTCACAACGTGTTGGCGTGTCAATGGCAGCAGATAACACATCGAGAAACCCCATCGTTTCTAGCTCCTGAGGTGGTGCATTCCAGTCCCCCGCGACGATGAATGGCACAGCAAAGTGGCGCAAGCAAACACCCAGACGCATGAACCTGTGGCAATTCAGACTCACGTAGTTGTTGAGGCCGACGGACTCCATGTACACCGACCCGATGACGATGCCTCCTGGGAGCCCAGTCTGCACATGGATAGCAATGGCCCACGCAGGCGAGATGTTGAAACCCCACATGGTGGGACAGTCCGAGAGCATAGTGACCGAGATGTGCGCCCTCACGAAAATCCCTACCCCAGCCGAGGGCATTCGTGACTGCAATCTCTTGCATGGTGAAATATACGGCCTCCATCCGCGTCGTAGCGCCCAAGTCTGAGCACGATCCCCAGCTTCACCGTCCAACTTGAGTTCTTGTGCACACACAACCTGCGCGTCCCCCACACCTTCAAGCAAAAACTGCTGGAGCGTATTCCAGCATGACCCATTGAAGGTGATCACGCCCATGCCGTGTCTGCGTGCTCCTCTCGGTGCTCTTCTACGCGTAGTGCCCCCAGGCCAAGGGGGTGTCCATCTCCATCTTGCCCGCGTCGACTGGCGTGCCTGCAGCTGCTGCGGTGCCTGCGCGGCTGGCGGATGCTGCGACGGCAGCGGCTGGTGGTGCATCCTCTGGCCCTGCTGGGGCTGCTGCAGGTGGGCCGCGAAAAGCGGCACCCACAGTAGGCCCTCCCGCTTCCGCTGTGGCACCCTGCAGGTTGGGAAGGAGCGCCCCAGCCGTTGTATGTTGGCCACCAGGGAGCCCAGCAGCTGCGCACCCACCTGCTCTCTCGACTGGCCGTTCTGCACCGACTGTGGGCTGTGGGCTGCGGGGCCTATGAAGGCGTAAAGGAGCCCGAGGCCCACGGAGCCCGTTGGCCCCAGGGCCTCAAGGGCCAACCCTAGGGGCCCCAAGGGAGCCGCCAGGGGGAAGGGCGCGAAGCGCCAAATGCGCGAAGCGCACGATTTCAAAGAATCAGAAGCAGCGGGGCGGAGGCGCACATCACGCCTAACAGAGCCGCCTCGCTGCATCAGCAATGCGGGGCAGAAGACGCTGCCTCACGCGCACGCCAAAAGAGGTGACGAGGGGCAGATACAACAAAAAGAGGAAAGTGAGCTGCATCACTCCCCTTCGTCACCTTCAGCGCGACGGCGCCTCCTGCGCCTGTCTTCGCGCGCCGCCTCTGCTGCGGCTGACTAGATACAACCATCAAGTGCAGCACTGGCAAAAGCATATGCTACACAAGACCACACAAGTGCAGGACCGCAAAGGAAAGAAACGACACTAATCCCATACGACTCGCAACTGCACTCACCACAAACTCACTCACTCACGAGCTACAGTCCTCCGCACAATCTGATAAGGCGATCGATCTCCCTGGCACGCTCAACAGACATCCCAGGCGGAAGGGCTTCAACCAGACGAGGCCCGAACGCGAACCTCGCCCTATGAACAAGCGGCTTCCGTGTGGGAGGAATCCTGATGCCGAAAGAGTCGCCCTCGATCATGTGCATGAGGTCAACGGCGTTAGCGTGGCGCGTCCAGGCGGGGTCCAGATACCCTGGCACGCTCCCCCGCCGTAGAATACCACGCATGCCCGAGCAGCTCCCAATCTCGAAAACGCGCGGGGCATCTGCAAAGCGGACTCTCCGCACCCGCAGCACACCGCCCGCAGCCTCGGGGACGGCGTCCTCGTCCAGCGATGGCCCCAGCCAGGCTCTGGCGACTGCCGCGCGCGCCAGCCACCAGCCAGGGCCACGACGAGAGGCCGCACTGCCAGGCTGCGAAGCTGGCACGGCACCCTGCGGCGGGCCCGCGGCCCCACTCACCCCTTCAGAGCCGTCGACCAGGGCGGGGGGGACGCCCCTGGTCGGAAACTCAGCAGCAGCCGCCTCGCCACTCGGAGTGACCTCGTCGCCGTGATCCTCGAACACCTCCGCAACCGAGAGCGGCAGCGGGGAGCGCGACGAGTAGCACGTCGCGCCGCACGTGCAGAGGCGGCCGCAGCCGTCCAGCGGCACCCAGCAGCCCAAGCTCGGGACGAAAGGGGGCGCGTCACGACGGAGCCCGCACTCGGCCCCGAGGGGTGGGGAGCCCTGCGACAGCCCGTGAGCCGCGGGCTGGGTGCCCGCCCTCCTCGCCTCGAGCCTACGCGCGTGCTTCTGGGCCTTGCGCAGCTCGGCATGGCCAGCTGGGACCAGAGACGCGCCGCAGGGCCCCTCGGAGTGTAGCGCCACATTGCGCCGAAGGATGTCCAGCGCCTCGGGCCGCTCGCCCGCGAGGAGGGACGCGAGGGCAGGAAGAATACAGGCGACCCTCTCCGCAACCTCCGCGTCGCCGAAAAGGTGCAGCAGCGCAAACTCGTAGGCGAGGGCCTTGCGGTCAGCGGCCACCAGCCTGCTCTTCAGCTTGAAAATGAACCGGTCGGCGGACGCGCGCGCACCGGCTGCCCCACGGAGGGGCTCTCCCGCAGCCACCATGCCTAGCTCAGGGGACCCCGCATGGAGCCTTGAGCCAGCATGGCTTGAGCCAAAATGGCTACGGATTCTGCACCGACTGGTTGGCACTGATGATGGTGGTCTGAAGCCTCTGCACCGCCGCTCTGCCACATTGGCGATGCCGTGTCCCTCTCCACCAGGTTGCGGAGCTGGTACCATTGCTGCCTTGGCCTTGGCAACGTCGGCTTGGAAGGCTGAGATGCCCCTGCCGACGGCCTCGAGCTTGGCCTTGGCGTCGCCCAGCTGGGACTCCAGCTCTGTGATCTGCTCGACGAGCTTGTCCCTTTCGGCCTCCTTGGAGCTGAGCCTGTCCATTGAGCATCGGAGTGCCTCTTCAGGTGGCATGGCATCCCTCTCCACTCTCTCAGCCTTTGCCAGGGCCGCCACTGCGAGCTGCATGACCTCATTGCTGTCATCGTAGAGCAACCTCCGAAGGGACTGGACAGCCCTCCGACATCGCACCACCTCTGAGATGGGAGCAGCAGGCCCAGCAGCTGCAGCGCCACCACGATCCGGCCGATCAGCGTGCTCGCGAGCCCCGCGCGACGGCGGGCGCGGGCGGCTGGTGTTCCTCCTGCCGCCCTTGTCTCGCCCACACTTCCAGCACTTGCTCCTCGTGGTGAAGTTGTTCTTGAAACCACACAGCTTGATGGCCTTGCAGGCCCAGTGCCCGCTGGACTGCTGCGCCTTCCACGGCGGAGTCGTCGCCGCTGCGTCATGACCCCCAGCAGCGCCGGCACCTGGAGCCCCCGAGGCCTGCGTGGCCCAGTGTTCGCCGTGATGCCTCCGCAGCAGCCGCCTCGCCGCGTCGAGCCTGAGCTCGCGGCGTGCGGTGGCCCTCGCCCGTCGGGCTCGCCTGTGCCAGGCGGGAGAGCGACTCCTGGACCGCGATCCAGGAATTGCGGCGGCAGCAGCACCAGCGCCCGCTGCACGGGCCGCTGGCTGGGGCCACATGGTCGCGCCCGCACCCCTCGCCCCAGCGGGGGGCACGGAGCCCAAATGGCAGCCTCGAAGACGACGACGACGCCGACAACGCCTACGACGACGACGACGACTCTCTGGATCTGGGATATGGGTCGAGAACCTTTGGTTCTGACCCACATCCCAGATCCGCAGCCTTTTGACATGAATGCTGACAAACCATTGGTTCTATTAAGATTCGGACATGGCGCGCGGGTAGAATTCTATGATTTGTTTGCAGATTTGTTCGGTGACCTTCCATGCGATTCGTGTGTTTTTATGCTGCGCGTTGCTCAAATGGTTGCAAACGTATGTCTTCGTAAGGATTTCGACAAGTGCGCTGCGCAACAACGAATGTGTGCCGCATGGTATTATTGAACAGGATTGCGTGAAACATGTGATGATATAGCAAAAAAAGTTCCCGCATAGTATGACTTGACAAGGGTGGCGGGGGGAAGTAGTACCGGCCTGGTTGGGACAGTATGAGTTCATATTTCGGATGGGCGAGTGTATATAATAAGTATGAAATCGTAATACTCCAGAAGGGGACAGTTAACTCCGGGGGGGGGGTCGATTCTTCTTTTAGAGAGGAGCATAAATATACGAAAGGAATATATATATAGAGAGAGAGAGAGAGAGATACACGTAGCACCCCGCAATTGCGGATAAGAGTGAGGGGGCGGGCGCGGGCGACGCGGGCGTCACGCCCCCTCAGGAGGGTCCTTCAGCGCCCCGAGGCCCCTTAATTGTGGGCGCCTTGAGGCAGCTTCCCCTGATCGCAGGCTTTGGGCACGGATGCCGAATTGCAGCAGGCAGCTGGCTTATCAATGAACGTGTTCAGACACAGCCCCGCCGCAGGCGCCAATGTGCTGTTGTAGACTCAACGTGGGCCGGATCGGGGGAACTTCACGAGGGCGCTTTCCCAAACCAATGCGAGCAAGCCCGCCGCATGCGCCGATTTGCATGCTCTGACAAGTTCAGCGCGGGGGGGATCGCTGGTGGGCCACCCGGAACGAATGCAAAAGCAGCCCACCGCAGGCGCCGAATTTTTGGTTTGCTCAGTGAGCGTAGTTTGGGTCGCGGGTGGGTCGCGGGCTCTGCACTTGCACCTGGAAAACGATTCAAAATTAGCCCGCCGCAGGCACCGAAAATTTTGCTTTGTAGACACGGTTTGGGCCACAGGTTGTCCAAATGGAACGAATGCAAAAGAAACCCGCCGCAGGCGCCGAAGTTTTGGCTTGCTCAGTGAACGTAGTTTGGGTCGCGGGTGGGTCGCGGGCTCTGCATCTCCACCTGGAAAAGGATTTTTAAAACAGCCCGCCGCAGGCACCGAAAATTTTGCTTTGTACACTGAATGCGGTTTGGGCCGCAGGTTGTCCACCTGGAACGAATGCAAAAGAAACCCGTCGCAGGCTCCGAACATTTTGGGTGGGTCGCGGAGTGGGTCGCGGGTGGGTCGCGGGCGCGGTTTGGGTCGCGGGTGGGTCGCAGGTTCTCCACGTGGAACGAACGCAAAAGAAACCCGCCGAAGGCGCCGAAAATGTTACGTGGGTCGCGGGGTGGGTCGTGGGTGGGTCGCGGGTGGGTCGCGGAGGGTCGCGGCGGGTCGCGGGCGGGTCGCGGGTGGGTCGCGGGGTGGGTCGCGGTGGGTCGCGGGGGGGTCGCGGGGGGGGGGGGTCGCGGGGGGGGCGCGGGCGGGTCGCGGGTGGGTCGCGGGGTCGCGGGGGGTCGTGGGTCGCGGGTGGGTCGCGAGTGGGTCGCGGGGTGGGTCGCGGGTGGGTCGTGGATGGGTCGCGGGGTGGTTCGCGGGTGGGTCGCGGGCGGGTCGCGGGTGGGACGACAACAACAAACAACAAACACAACAACAACAACCATAATCCGCATCGCGGAATTCCACTTCAGCCACGCACCCAAGGACAGTGAATGACCGTTCGGTTCAGCCCCCTCACTCTGATATATATATATATATATATATATATATATATATATATGTATATATATACACACATACATATATATATAGTGCAAATTATGTGGAATCAATCACTTGCTCAACTTGAAGCTGACTTCTCCACTGCTCGTGCAAACATCCCACCCTCCCACCCGCAACTTCGCCACAATACCTCTTAAGACCGTGACGGTTGGTACCACATGGCACTTGGCAGCGACACCGACGCCGACGACGATGCCGCGGACAACGACTACGACGACGGCGACGGTGTCTCCAACGACGACGACGATGACGACGACGACGACGACGACGACGACGACGACGACACCGACGACGACGACGACGACGACGACGACGACGACGACGACGGCAACGACGCCGCCGACGACGACGACGACAACGCCGACGACGACGCCGACGACGGCGACGACGACGCCGACGACGACGACGAAGACGACGACGTCGCCAACGAAGACGACGACGACGACGACGAGGGAGGAGGGAGGACGACGACGGCGACAACGACGACAACGACGAGGGAGGAGGGAGGACGGCGACAACGCGAACGACGAAGAAGGAGGGAGGACGGCGACGCCGACGACGACAACGACGAGGGAGGAGGGAAGACGACGACGACGGCGACGAAATAGGAGGGACGACGACGAGACGCCGACGACGGACGACGACGACGACGACGACGAGGGAGGAGGAAGGATGACCACGGCGACAACGACGACGGCGACGACGACGACGCCAAACAGGACGACGACGACGACGACGATGACGACGACGAGGAAATCCAGAGGACGACGACGGCGACGACGACGACGACGAGGGAGGAGGGACGGCGACGACGACGACGACGCAAGAACGCGTGCGCACGTTTTTGTTAGAATCCGTGTTGCGAAACCCTGCGTTTTTCCCCAACCCTCCTTGGTTGGGTATTCGTTTTGAATAGAGCAGTGTGGTCTCCACTCCTTCCTTCCTCCTCCTCCCTCCCTCCCTGCCTCTTCCTGTCTTGCCTGCGGGGGGCTGCGATCTGTGAAACTGTCGCCATTTTCGAGGCCTGCTGGGGGGCCCAGCACAGTGAGGGCCACGCGCAGATTCAAAATCAGACCTCGCCATCCCTGGGGGGCTGCGATCTGTGAAACTGTCGCCACTTTCGAGGCCTGCTGGGGGGCCCAGCACAGTGACGCCACGGGCAGATTCAAATTAGACCTCGCCATCCCTGGGGGGGGGCTGGAAACTGTCGCCACTTTCGAGGCCTGCTGGGGGGCCCAGCACAGTGAGGGCCACGCGCAGATTCAAATTAGACCTCGCCATCCCTGGGGGGGCTGCGATCTGTGAAACTGTCGCCACTTTCGAGGCCTGCTGGGGGGCCCAGCACGGTGAGTGCGCAGATTCAAATTAGACCTCGCCATCCCTGGGGGGCTGCGATCTGTGAAACTGTCGCCACTTTCGAGGCCTGCTGGGGGGGCCCAGCACAGTGAGGGCCACGCGCAGATTCAAATTAGACCTCGCCATCCCTGGGGGGCTGCGATCTGTGAAACTGTCGCCACTTTCGAGGCCTGCTGGGGGGCCCAGCACAGTGACGCACGGCCCTCGCCATCCCTGGGGGGCTGCGATCTGTGAAACTGTCGCCACTTTCGAGGCCTGCTGGGGGGCCCAGCACAGTGAGGTTCATGCGATCTGGAAACTGTCGCCAGAGGCCTGCAGCACAGTGAGGGCCACGCGCAGATTCAAATTAGACCTCGCCATCCCTGGGGGGCTGCGATCTGTGAAACTGTCGCCACTTTCGAGGCCTGCTGGGGGGCCCAGCACAGTGAGGGCCACGCGCAGATTCAAATTAGACCTCGCCATCCCTGGGGGGCTGCGATCTGTGAAACTGTCGCCACTTTCGAGGCCTGCTGGGGGGCCCAGCACAGTGACGCCACGCGCAGACTCAAATTAGACCTCGCCATCCCTGGGGGGCTGCGATCTGTGAAACTGTCGCCACTTTCGAGGCCTGCTGGGGGGCCCAGCACAGTGACGCCACGGCGGACCAAATTAGACCTCGCCATCCCTGGGGGGCTGCGATCTGTGAAACTGTCGCCACTTTCGAGGCCTGCTGGGGGGCCCAGCACAGTGACGCCACGGGCAGACCCAAATTAGACCTGGGGGGGGCTGCGATCTGTGAAACTGTCGCCACTTTCTGTGAAACTGTCGCCACTTTCGAGGCATGCTGGGGGGCTCAGCACAGTGACGCCACGGGCAGACCCAAATTAGAGCTCGCCATCCCTGGGGGGCTGCGATTTGTGGAACTGTCGCCATTTTCGAGGCCTGTTGGGGGGCCCAGCACGGTGAGGGCGACGCGCAGATTCAAATTAGACCTCGCCATCCCTGGGGGGCTGCGATCTGTGAAACTGTCGCCACTTTCGAGGCCTGCTGGGGGGCCCAGCACAGTGACGCCACGGGCGGACCCAAATTAGACCTCGCCATCCTTGGGGGGGCTGCGATCTGTGAAACTGTCGCCACGTTCGAGGCCTGCTGGGGGTGCCCAGCACAGTGACGCCACGCGCGGACCCAAATTAGACCTCGCCATCCCTGGGGGGACTGCGATCTGTGAAACTGTCGCCACTTTCGAGGCCTGCTTGGGGGCACAGCACAGTGACGCCACGGGCGGACCCAAATTTAGACCTCGCCATCCCTGGGGGGCTGCGATCTGAGATCCCCGCTTTCGAAGTGGCTAGGGTTGTTCAGGGATTGTAACTAACAGCTTTATCTAGCCCTTGTCCTGTAGCCAGTGTCCTGCGAGTCTCCCGAATTCCGTCTGCAGACATATGTAACCCTCGCTCCGTCATCGCCCCCTTATAAAGTGTCCTAAACTATTTGCGCCCCGCGTTTGCGCAGGGGTTGGGTACGTCGCCAGGGTATTGTTTTAGCGTCTGTGTCTGTGTCTGTGTCTGTGTCTGTGTCTGTGTCTGTGTCTGTGCGTGTGTGCGTGTGAGTGTGCGTGTGTGTGTGTGTGAGTGTGTGTGTGTGAGTGTGTGTGAGTGAGTGTGTAAAAGTGTGTGAATGTGTGTGAATGTGTGTGAATGTGTGTGAATGTGTGTGAATGTGTGTGGATGTGTGTGAATGTGTGTGGATGTGTGTGAATGTGTGTGAATGTGTGTGAATGTGAGCGAATGTGTGTGAATGTGTGTGAATGTGTGTGAATGTGTGTGAATGTGTGTGAATGTGTGTGTATGTGTGTGAATGTGTGTGAATGTGTGTGAATGTGTGAGTGTGTGTGAATATGTGTGAATGTGTGTGAATGTGTGTGTGTGAATGTGTGTGTGAATGTGTGTGAATGTGTGTGAATGTGTGTGAATGTGTGTGAATGTGTGTGAATGTGTGTGAGTGTGTGTGGGTGTGTGTGGGTGTGTGTGAGGAGTGTGTGTGTGTGAGTGTGTGTTAGTGTATGTGTGTGTTTGAGTGTGTGTGAGTGTGTGTGAGTGTGTGTGAGTGTGTGTGAGTGTGTGTGTGAATGTGTGTGAATGTGTGTGAATGTGTGTGAATGTGTGTGAATGTGTGTGAATGTGTGTGAATGTGTGTATGTGTGTGAATGTGTGTGAATGTGTGTGGATGTGTGTGAATGTGTGTGGATGTGTGTGAATGTGTGTGAATGTGTGTGAATGTGAGCGAATGTGTGTGAATGTGTGTGAATGTGTGTGTGAATGTGTGTGAATGTGTGTGAATGTGTGTGTGAATGTGTGTGTGAATGTGTGTGAATGTGTGTGAATGTGTGTGAATGTGTGTGAATGTGTGTGAATGTGTGCGAATGTGTGTGAATGTGTGTGAATGTGTGTGAATGTGTGTGAATGTGTGTGAATGTGTGTGAATGTGTGTGAATGTGTGTGAGTGTGTGTGAGTGTGTGTGAGTGTGTGTGAGTGTGTGTGAGTGTGTGTGAGTGTGTGTGAGTGTGTGTGTGTGTGTGTCTGTGTGCGTGTCTGTGTGTGTGTCTGTGTGTGTGTGTCTGTGTGTGTGTCTGTGTGTGTGTCTGTGTCTGTGTGTCTGTGTGTGTCTGTGTGTGTCTGTGTGTGTGTCTGTGTGTGTCTGTGTGTGTGTCTGTGTGAGTGTGTTTGTGTGTGTGTGTGTGTGTGCTGTGTGTGTCTGTGTGTGTGTGTCTGTGTGTGTGTGTCTGTGTGTGTCTGTGTGTGTGTCTGTGTGTGTGTCTGTGTGTGTGTGTGTGTGTGTGTGTGTGTCTGTGTGTGTGTGTGTCTGTGTGTGTGTGTCTGTGTGTGTGTGCTGTGTGTGTGTCTGTGTGTGTGTGTCTGTGTGTGTCTGTGTGTGTGTCTGTGTGTGTGTCTGTGTGTGTCTGTGTGTGTCTGTGTGTGTCTGTGTGTGTCTGTGTGTGTGTCTGTGTGTGTCTGTGTGTGTCTGTGTGTGTGTGTCTGTGTGTGTGTGTCTGTGTGTGTGTCTGTGTGTGTGTCTGTGTGTGTCTGTGTGTGTCTGTGTGTGTCTGTGTGTGTGTCTGTGTGTGTGTCTGTGTGTGTGTGTGTCTGTGTGTGTGTCTGTGTGTGTGTCTGTGCGTGTGTCTGTGCGTGTGTGTGTCTGTGTGTGTCTGTGTGTGTCTGTGTGTGTGTCTGTGTGTGTGTCTGCGTGTGTGTGTGTGTCTGTGTGTGTGTCTGTGTGTGTGTCTGTGTGTGTGCGTGTGTGTGTGTGTGTTTGTAGTTTGGACACTTTGAAATCCTTCCGAAACCGAAGGTGTTGGAAGGATTTCGGCATGCGTGCTCGACGACGCGCGCGCCTGCACTTCGTTCTTTGTCTTTGCAGAGGATTCTCGCGACGGCACGCGCGCAAGGGCGTTCGAACGACTTCGACATGCGCGCGCGCGAAGCCCGTTTGGTCGTATATCTTGAAAAACTGATGGTTGCGTTAAGATTTCGCGAGAGCGCGCGCGTAAGCTTTTTTCGAACATATCAATGTTGCGGAATCCTGTGTTTTGGCATGTCTTTTGGAAACTCGATTTTGAAATCTATCCGACACCGGAGGTGCTGGAATGATTTCGGCATGCACGCGCAACGACGCGCGCGTGTGCACTTCGTTTCGTTTGGTGCAAGGGATTCGTGGAAACTTATGATTTTTGATAAGCGAGTGTGCGCGCATAGTTTTTGTTCAGAGGATGGCGGGGGCGGGGGCGATACCTGTTTGGCTGGGACAGTACGAACTCAAAGGTAGGATGACATTGGGTCAGAGTCCCATGTGTTTTGCATAGGTTCCCGGGGGGTCTACAAACCGGGGAGGGGGGAGGGGGGTTGAACCTAGTTTCTTTTTAGAAATGGAGAATTCATGTTGGTCCGTAGTGAGTTGTGAACCACACTTGCTCGCGCAATCATCCCACCCACCCACCCACCCGCAATTGGGTTTGCAACACCAATAGGCGGTGATTGCGATGATTGCTCGGCGCTGGCTGGCGCATCTCTGCGGCTGCGCTAGCGCCCGCAGGCTCGCGCGCAGAGCGGCCACCTAGTCTGGCACGACCGACGCGGCCGCGGCGGCGTTGACCGCTGGAGGCTACCCAGCGTGTCTCGCAGGCTTGCGCTGATGCGCAAGCATTTGAGTGCGAATTAGTGATTCGGCCGGGTGCGGTATCCTGGCGACGCCGACAACAGCTGACACGATGATGTGTGTAGCGATGTTTGTGACGGCGATGACGATGACGCCGGCAAAGCCAGTGGCGGCGCCGATGACGGGGATGGTGTCCACGCGTCGGCGCTGAAGGTTGTAAAAAATGATTTAGACATGCGCGCGCGGCCGACAGGCACGAGTGTCCTGCATGGTGATCTTTGACAGGGATCGACGCGCGCATTGGCTTTTGGATGATTCCGACATGCGCGCGAAAGACGCACGTTTTGTCGAATGGAATAAAACGTCTAAAACACAATGGTTGTCCCAAGTCTTCGAAAGCGCGCGCGCAGAAATGGAGATATCGTGTTGCAAAACCGTGTGTCTTACATGTTTCGGGGCATTCGATGTTGAAATGTTCGCGAAACCTTCGACTATTGAAGGACTGTGGCATGCGCGCGCGACGACGACCGCGTGCAAAGTTCGTCCAATGTGTGAATCGATGCCAGTTGGGCTGGAACCATATGCTTTCAGATTAAGAATGAGCGATGGGGCAGAATCATATGTAAGGTGCACGTTCCGGGGGGGGAACCCTTAAGTGTGCCTTCGGGAGGGTGGTGGAATCGATTGTAGAAAGTAGAGTTGATGCAGTGCAGTCCATGCGGTGCGATAAATGCGTGGTACAGTCTATGTTTTGCGATCCGCGTGGTGCGATATATGCGGTACGATATACGCGGTGCGACCACGGTTGTGCAATTTGTGTTCCGATCTACGTTGTGCAATATATGTGATGAAGTCTGCGTGGTGCCATCCATTTGGTGCAATCTATGTGACTCAATCGTGCGAGGCCGCGTCGAGGCGGCGACGGGGTGACGACGGCGACAACAGATCCGCCAGACCGACGCACAACCCCAGACGATTGGCGCCGACGGGGCTGCGACGGCTACGACATAGCCGCCAAACCGCCACACTGGCCCAGGCGATGGGCGGCGACGGGGCGGCGACACCGACAATGCAGAGGCCAGATTGCCACACCAGCCCAGACGACAGGAGGCGGCGACGGGGCGGCGACGGCAACATGGCCGCCAGACCGCCGCACCAGCCCACATTTCTGGAAAAAATGAGATGTTGCTAAGTGATTGGAGAATACATACATGCACGCACACATACCGTCGTTTGTAAATCGATACGACATACGCACGTGCAAACGGTTGCCCTTTTTTTTCCGGAGGGCACGAGGAGGACGGGGAGGGCGAAATGAAATGCGACGTCGTGTGATGTGATGGTTTGAAATGAGATGATACGATCTGATATGAGATGGGACGAGATGAGCGAAGATGGAAAGGGATGAGATGAGATGAGATAGGATGGCATGATATGATATGAAATGAGACGACACAGAGCTTGGAAGGCGGTTTGTGAAGGCCTAGTCCAAGCAACCCTCAGACGCTTTGGAGAGAGTCCAGGCGTCGGACAAGTCGTTTTCTGTGCTCTTTGCGCAAAAGCGCCTCCCCAGTGCTTGCGGCTTCCGTGAGGCCAAAAGCCCGTAGAGTGCACGCCCTCGATCCGGCATAGGGGGCAGACCCCACGACACCCGCACACGGGACGGGGGGAAGGGGGAAGAGGGTGGAGGGTGGAGGCGGAAGTAGCAGGAGGGAGCGAGGACGCGGGAGGCCAGAGGAGGTCGGAGGGTATCGGTTGAGGAGGAGTGGGAGGTGGACGCAGGAGGATCCCCCCGAGAGAATTGAAGAAGACATTCGTGAGGGCAGAGTGCCGTAAACAGAAGAGGTGATTAGTACAGAGGGCATTGTATTGTGCTGCGCACACGGGAGACCCCACGGGCGACCGCGGGCCTCGGGCCTACGATTCCGGATCCGAACGGGCCCAGGCGTGCCTCGAAGAGGGACCAACAGGACTCCTACAGACAGGCCGCTCAGGGAGTAACAATTCATGCGCCGCTCGGCTGGCGCTCTAGCGCCCCTGGCGGCCCCGCCGCGGCCGCCGCCCGGGCAGGAGTCTGTGCTGTGGGCCGCCTTCAAGGCCTTTGACACGGACGACGACGACGGCAATATTAGCAAGGAATCCCCCCCCTGCGGCCAATGGGATCCCAGCAAAAAGCAACCGCAGGACCATAAGGCTGCCGCCTGTGCCGCCCAACCCAAAGAGGATTTGTGCTCTGGGTAACGGGGCTCTTGGGGTCGGGTCTGGGCCTCTCGTGGGGAGACGACGGCGCCCTTTGCGGCCACTGGGAGCCGAAGATAAAAGGGTCGCAGCCGTCCTGATGTCGACACGGCTTCTCCTAGTGTCGGGCTTCTGTCTGAACACAGACAATGGGGTGGGGCCCGACGCTCAGAGGATCAAGAACCCATGATCCGAGGGGGAACAAAACGCATAAACACAAACGGTCGGAGTTCCGCACGGATTTCTTGGATCTGTGCTGGAGCCCCCCCAGCGGCCAAGAAGCCTCCGGCGCCTGCCCTGGCAGGCTCCGCGTGCCTGGGAGGGGGGTTCAGCGCCGATCCGAGAAATCCGCGCGGACCTTCAATAGTTGATCTACCGGCTGCCGCTTGTGCCGCCGAACCCAAAGAAGGCTTGTGCTCTGGTTCACGGGGCCCTTGGGGTCGGGTCTTGACGTTTCGTGGGGTGGCGACGTCGGCGGGAATCATGCACGAAGTTTTTCCGGATGCTTGGTGTGCCTTGGCATCTTGTTTATTCGCTTCTCTCACTTCGCGGGCCCATATTGCACCATTGTTGCTATTTGTTGGTGTGCCCGCAGCGGGCGAGAAGGAGGATATGGAGAGTCAATCGGGGAGGGGGAGGAGGAGGAGGAAGAGGTGGCGGAGAAAGAGGAGGGTGTAGGAGGAGGAGGAGGAGGAGGAGGAGATGGAGGAGATGGAGAAGGGAGGAGGAGGAGGATGCCCCTCGACGGCTTCTTCGGGCACTGTGGGGACCAAACTGGATCGCAGACAAGACGCCTGTTTGGAAGGCTCCTCGGGGTTTCGTCGGAGGCCTCTCGGAGGCCTCTTCGCGGCATTTGTGGGACCTCCTGGGGCCTCTTGGGGGCTTCCAGTGGCCTCCTGAGGGTTTTTTGTGGGCCTGCTGGCGGCAGAGGGGCCGAGCTTTCGGGGAAGGCTCGTTCTGCCTATTCGAGTTCCACTCGGGGCGCTCATGGGAGCGCCCTGGGGACGCCTCTTGGGCCATGTTGGTGCCCTTTTTCGGCAGTCTGAGGTCCGTCCTGGGGACCTCTTGGACTGACTTGGTGCGATCTTGGCGGCCTCTTGGGCCGCCCAGGGCGGTCGGCAGCTCCCAAAATCGCCCAAGAACTTGCGCAAAGTCAAAGATCACTGCATTCGGGGTCTTTCATCGAAGTCATTCTGGAACCCTCCTGGGGCGTGTGGTCCGTCTGGGGAAACTTGGGCCCCCTTGGAACGCTCTTGGCCTGAAGCCGTGGGGCCTGCTACTAATATGGCGCCGCTTTGGAACGCTCCTGGGGCGTTCCGGGGGGCCCCAGGGCCGGGGACCTTTCGGGACCTAGCCGGGGCCCCCAGGAGCCGCCACGCGCGCGCGAATTAGAAACATTCTTCAACGCGCGCTGGAGATTTTAGCACGCCTCTGGCCCGTTGGGCAGGCAAATTGAATTGAAAGTTCTGCGGGGTCAGGATGCCCGTCGTACCAGCGTGCCTCGGAACTGGTTGAACGGACAGGTTGGTTGCGGGGGCCAGATTTCCAGCGATGCGCCAGAACGCAGGGATCGCTGTGGCCGCGACAGCGGGGAAGGGAGAAACCGCCCCGCCGTTCCTCACGCGACACGCAGGAAGGATTGAAGGGTTTGCAAAGAGGAGCGCGAAAGGCGCCGACTAGTCATCGACGGCCCGGAGGACCTGCGACTGCAAACGGATAAGTTTTGTTTCGCGTCAGAAGAGTTCCCAAACAGCAGATCAAGTTCGATGAGCACAAGCTCCGAGCACCCCAGTACGGCCGTCTCCACGAAAGCCCATGGTGCACGTACCCGCGCGAGACACGGCCGCGTCGGCTTCTCGTCGGGAGCGGCCGCATCTGCCGCGGCAAGAGACGGCCCAGCAACGGCGCCACGACAAGGAGAGCGGGGACTGATACGGAGTCCCACCAATCGCGGGGGGCACACTCGTTCCTTCACCGATCACACAGACTACAGCGAGGACAATCACCTGCTGAGAGGACGCGCGGGCCACGCGCAGTCGCAGGCGGGCGACGGCGACGAAGAAAACGATTGACCGACGCGCGGGGGCGAGGTCACATAGGAGAGAACTTTGAAATTGATCTTCGTTAGCTTCGACGAAGGCGACGAAGGCGCGGCGGTCGAGCCCCGCGCGAGCGGGCGAACGTCTGACTGACAGAACACGCGCATTGCACGCGGCGACCCCCCGCAGATATAGAAGCGGTTTGTTCGCGAGGGTTGCGCGCATCCACGACCGAATTTTGAAATGGCGCCAGTTCCCGCCAGCCCCCGCGCTCGGGGCCGCGGCCCACGCGGCGCAAGGGCAGACTTGCGAGCCGGGGGCCATCGTGGACATGGGCATCGGCGGAGGCACGGCGCCCTTGTCGAGCCGCGCGACCATGGCGCGGGCTCGACGGCACGGGGTCGCGCTGACCCCCCGCCCCTGCGACGTCGCACCGCGCGAGCAGATGGGGGAGCGGAAGGGCCGGACTAGCCCTCGCGGACGCCGCGAGGAGGGGGCCCCGATTGGGGCTCGATCGCGAAGGAATTCGCGCCGCCCAGCAGGCGCGCGGCCTGTGGCCGCGCGAACTACGAGGACCAACGTCAGGTCGGTCAGCGGAGCCGCGCCGACGGCCGCCGAGAGCGCGAAGCGCGCGCGGGGCATCCGACGAGCACGGGCGCGCCGCGACAGCGCATGGGGCGCGGTCAGTGAGAGGGAGGGGGGGGGCCGCCTGTCGCGCGCCCCAGCGCCGCTCGTCGAAGTCGGCGATCCGACGGCGCGACGGCGCGCTCAAAGTGCGCCGGATAGAAAATAAGTGGACGTGTTTCCATCCTGCGAGAAGGAGATATTGGCGGGCTTTTCCTGAAGGCGGCACGGCATCACCGCGACGCGGGGCGCCCGCGCGCCCGGCGCGGGAAGACGGGCGAACGAGAGCAGATGGCGCGCGCCAGCGAGCGCGGCGCGCGGCTGCAAGGCCGACGAAGCACAGGAGGGCGACCCCGCCCACGCGCAGTCGAATTCAGCTGCAGCGGATCGGAAGCGCCACGGCAGCATTGAGAGAGAAGCCAGCGGGAGGAAGGCGAGGGCGCAGACCGCGCGGGCACAGGTGGCACGGGGCATCGCTTGCAAGAGGGGCAAGCCAGAGACCGGGCCCTCACCGCGGACGCGGGAGGGCCCCGCGGACGAATGGCAGAAGCTCGCGTCGCACGCGCAGCGGCAGAGGGCGAAGAAGGAGTCGAAATGGCGCAGTGGATGCAAAGCCGCGAAGGAACAAATCTGTTATTGTCCATGGGCGCGGAGGGACGTCAGGGGCGCGGATCGAACGCGCAGTCGCCGCGCGGGGCTAGCGGAGAGCTCGCCGTCGGCGGACGCGCATCGCGCGCGAACGGTCGCGACGGGAGTCGGCGCTCAGACCGTGGCTGAGAAGGAGGTCGGCGCAGAAACCGAATGGCAAGCAGCGCTGCTCGTCGCGTTCCTGAGATCTTCCGCGGTTTCGATGTTGACGCCGCTGATAAATCTAGCCGCGGTGTTGTTCCGGTCTGCGTTCCTTTCAAAAGGGACATTGACCATTATTGTTGGACAAGATCATTTGGCCCCACGCACGACCGAGAGGCCCATTAAGATGCGGCGGGAAAAGATGTCCGGCAGACGACCGTTTGTCAAGGCGCCGCGCGTCACTCGTCGCACCAGTCACTTCAGAGGGTCACCGTTGCATTTTTCACCGAGCGCCCGGGGCCGCGCGAGGAATCTTGCCGCTGCGCAAAAGAAACACCGAGGCCTCATAGTTTTTGCGTCGCCCCTGTCGGTTCTTGCATACTCAAAATCATTGGTTTGCGTCGCGTCACGCATACTGATCTTGCCAATGGGTTTGATTTGTTCGGCAACCAAGTTGCGATTCCCATGGCGGGCATGAACCGAGGCAGCCCGCTGGCACCAGGTTTTTGCAATGCTGCGTGCCGCTGCATCGAATATGAGAGAGGGCGCCTTCCAGCGCCGTTCAACGTCCCCGGGGCCCAACTGGTCGGCCAAATGTTGTTTCGTTGGGTTGGCGACATCTTCTGCGTCATTTGTTTTTGGCGCGCCCCCGGCCGCGCTGAGCCCACGACAGACCCGCCCGCTGGACAGCGGCGGGCGAGCGAGGATGTCAAATCCAGGGCTGAAGAGGCCGGAGCGACGGCGATTGATGAGTTCGTTTCGTATTATTCAGGCGTTGTGCACACTCGTATCATTTGTTAAAATTACCATGCGCACGTTCCGTCTCAAGTGTGAGGAACTGTCTGTCGTCGTTGGTTTTGATGTCAATGTTCTGTCTTATAGAATCGCTTTGTCTGCTCATTCTCCCAGTGGTGATCGCACGCTCGCGTGTTCCACTGTCCTGCAGCGCCCTCGGTTCCAGAGTTGGTTCAGCAACCGACCGTGCTCTGAGAAGATGGGATCTGTCCAAGGGCACGTTGTCAGCGCTGTCGACAGACGCCATGAGACTGATGCGGCGAGACACGTTGTTAGCCTTCTGCTCGAACTCGCTTATTTGCGCTATCCATGGCAAGTGATCGAAAGGGCGCCCCCCCATGTCAAGAGGACTCATCCGCACCTCTTGCGTCTTGATGATGCTGCGCGCACCGCTAAGCACGCGCGGGCTGCGACGAAAAGCAAGTGATGTCCGCGCGCGTGTCCAAGTTCGCCTGCGCTCGTTGCCTTGCCCTCCTCGTCCTCTTCCCTCCTGTCCGCTCTCTCGTTTCACCTGCGTTGCTCGTGTATTGCTTCTCTTCTGCTCGTTTATCCCGGCCATGTGCGCGAGGGCCTCGGTGCGTTACCACGAGGGAGGTCTCTTCTAGCATTATCCTGCGCGCTGCCGAGATTGATGGCGGTGCTCATCCTCAG